AGAGAGAGAGAGAGAGAGAGAGAGAGAGAGAGAGAGAGAGAGAGAGAGAGAGAGAGAGACAGATGAAAGTCACAGAGTGAGACAAATGCATTCATGGAATTATCTGGTAAAAAATCAAGTAGAATATCTTTGGGGAAAATAAAACATTTCAGCAACATTTCACATATTTCTTTGCAGTTCATATTTTGACTTAGTGCCACATTTGGTGCAGCTCTGCCTCATCTCTCAAACCTCATTAAAATCTAATGGAGATAGATATTACCAGCACACGGTTGGGGTTCCTGTGCATTCCAAGAGAACAATAACTTTGCAAGTATAAGGATAGCAAAGACAAAAACTATAACAATTGTTTTACTCTGGTTGTGCAATTTTGTGTGAAGGTTTGAATTATGAGCACTTGTGCTGATCCACGTACAAAGGAGTGCTGTAATAACAGAGAGCAATCCTGTAAGGCCACGAGGTCGCCAGTCAACAATGTGCAGACCAGTGGTCAAAATCCCCCAGTGACCCGTAGCAAATGAGCCCATAGCAGGACCACTCAGCCTAAATTACCTCCTCAAACACAGTCMTATACCTTTGCCCCTGGAACATTTATACAACCCCAGAAAGATCTTTCTTGTCACCCTCCAGTGGCTGTTATGCACATCTGTAATCACACTGTGATAGGTGGTAGAGTATGACAGATAGCTTGATTGAGTGGTATGTGGTTTGAAAAATGAGGCCGTGTTCACAAATGTTTCTGTCAAAAATAATTTAATTAAAAAGTAATACCAGTATAAACTGAAAAAAAACAACAACAACAACTAGTTAAAGTTAAAGACAGGTTGCTTTGTTCGGTTCAGTCTCCAAATAACATTGCAAACCAGAATGTGTAATAAGTACACTGGTTGAAAGAGCAAAGTTATAGTTTCATAATAAAAGCTCTAAAAACTGTGAAAAGATTTAAATTTATGGGCTCTAAATGGGTTCATTTTTTAGAAAAAGAATAATTAAAAGATTTAAAGTTGGTTGTGACCACTATTGTTCATGACTGTTATCACCTCCTAGGCATATGAAATATTCATGCTTTATGTTTTGCACAAACTTTTAGAAAGTTGTATTAATGAATATAAAGGCAATCATACCATTCCAACTTTATTTGTAAAGCACTTTAAACACAGACAGGAGCAAAGTGCTGCACACAGTCATAAAATATAATACAATCATAAAATAGAAAATAAAAAAGTAGTAATCAAGTAAAACACAGATAAAAACACAATAAAACAGAGTCACACATCAAACATCAAACATCCTCGATATTGACAWAAGCCAAAGAAAAAAGATGGGTCTGAAGAAGAGATTTAAAAACAACAAGGGAAGAGGCCTGCCTTATGTCCAAAATCAAAACACTAATAACACTATTACAAATGACACAGACCGTTTTAAGTATGCAATTAGTGTAGAATATATGCAGAACCTTTAAAAATGTAGAAAAATGAAAGAAATTCAGTTGTTTTATCATCTCCCAGCACAAGGTTTTAGTATATACCCAAAACACAATCACTGGCCAGCTAACCCATTATATATACAAGGAATAATGGACCCTAAAACCATCTTGCATACAATGCAGAGTGACAATAAATGTGAAAAATTGAAGCGTCGTGGTACTGCCTGCTTTAACTTCACATCCTGGCTGGGAAGACATTCATCATAGTTCGGCAAAGATCAATATGAATGAACTGTGCTGCTGAAAAGATCAATAGTCATGCGTTGCAGAGGTAAAAGAGAATGGGACACGACACTGACAAAAGGTCTGATACTAATTTGAGTCCTCTTCATTTGGATGGACATTTTCACAGATGAACGCCCATAGATTGAGAGTACTCCACTTGGTTACAGTGTGCAGAGTTCGAGAAATTTTTTTTTCTTCTCTCGCATCAAAATGCATGTCAAAATTAGTTTTATTATAGGAATTAGTATACTGGTCACAACATGGAAAGAAAATTGGTTTGAACAGTCTAGAGTTACGGAAAAGGATTTAAAACTGAGGCTTACTCAAAGATGAAACAACTAAACAGAGATTTTGGAGGATGCTAAAGAGGCAAGAATAAGACCTCTCCTGGGTGTCGAGATTAAACGGCTGGAAGAGGAGGAGAGACAGACCGAGCAAGGTTTGGGTCTCTGTCTGGAATACTAAATACAAGGTAATAGCACCTGCCTAAATGGCAGAGCTGGTACTAATCAGCGCACTAATCCACCTGAAAGGACAAAAGGGTTGTGTGGATATGACTGTAAACGCCTTTTTTTAAACACGTGCGCACACTTAATAAAAAAAGACAATTGCTTTCTCACGAACCGCTAGAAATATAAAACAAACCCATTGCATAGAAACATGTGGCCACACAGGCTAAAAATGTCCATGCACCCTGGTGGCTGGATATAAACAGTGAGTCACTCAACAGCAGAGAGAAAGTGTAATTTCTGTGATTACTGAGTGGTCTCAAATTGTGATATCCTGCTGCTGTCCCAACTGATTTTGGAGAGCAACCCTGACCTTTTATAAGTCCAGACAAGACACTTTTCTGTGTCTGGTTAGAAACATTCCTTTTAGCGATCAAAGCTGCAATAACCTCACTGTGCTCTCTCAAACAAATAAATGTTTTTATGTCGTTTAGAAAAGCTGTGCCAATGGATGAACATCATCTTGTAGCAACAAGAACCTGGCCATTACCTCCTCCTGCAATAAAACGTCACCTCTTAAATGAATTGGCTTCTGTTTATGTTCAACCCATTTCGTGTCTTTGCTTTCCACAAGGTTTTTAGCTCATCTGGAGCAAAACAAAATGCTAAAGGGGGGTGTCAAAGACAGATTAAGGCATTAATGCTAATGCACTGCAGCAATATGAAGAAGATAGACGCAGCACCCCAGCACCGGCTCAGTTTGGAGAAATATCTTCCAAGTTTTAATGAATAAAACAAACAACTCCATATATTGATAGCTTCTTTCAACTGCTGCTGAGCGGAAGGGGCCTAACATGGGGAGAAACCCTGCCATGACCAACATTAAGCTGAAGAAAATGAGGCTTCTGCTGCGTGACTCAGCAGAGGAGCGTATGATTGGAATGAGTAAARAGGCTGGTTAACTATTTTTTAGGCCCATTCTTATTCAAAAAGATGAAGACAAAAAAGTTTTTAAAGAGATAATTTTTTAAATCCAAAAGTAACAACTCCCCACTAACTTCTGAAACCATGTGGCTCAGAAAACATGCAGTGCTAATTGCAGAAACATTTCACTAGAACACAATGTAATGGGAACAATTGAAAAAAATATATTTTCATCATTATGCTGAAAAATAGAGTAAAACTGAGGGAAATATGGAGGAAATATTAACATTTTTATAGTTGTAATGTTAGAGGCTGGGCCCCATAACAAAAAGTTGTGTCCATTTTAAATGACATCACAGCTCACATTCAAATAGGCTAAAATTAGGATAACATTTAACTCTTTCAAACGTGCTATTTTATCTGGAACAAACACTGGACCTTTATGGTGACAACTTGATGTCAACTGAATGAAATCTGTCCAATGATAGATGAAAAGATCACAATGTGTATAAAATAACTTCTACTTGGCTTGATGACATAACTTACCAGCTGAAATCTGAGCAACATAACGGTAAACTCAGTTTATTCACAGATAATCTGGTATTCCAGAGATTTATCAAAATAAAATGATTTCTCAAGTCTGAACACTTACTTGAGGTCGATAAATTGCTGAATGAAATCAAAACCTATGACGCAATTACTTTCATCACGAGGGGACATAATGCATCCCAGTTTATTTGCTTCAATCCAGTTAGAAAAGTAGCCAGAACGCTTTTGTTTGGTGCAGCTTTTTACTGTAAGTCACTTTGCAAGAAGAAACCTAATTATGTTTTGGTCAAAACACTTCTGTTGGACTAATGGCCTGAGACAAAAAGTGTATCAAAATTGCTAAAAAAAAAACAAACAAACAATATTAATAAAATAAAAATAATGATAAAAAAGTCAAATAAAAGCAATAATCCTTTTTAGGGGCAGTGTTATGTATTTTCCAGGCTCATAGATGAACTACATTATAAACCACAATCAAGTTAACTTCAGTTGTTATAAAAGTACTGCAAAATCAAAAATAAATTAAACTTTGCTAAACRCCTTGAAATGTTTCTTTTATAAAACTCATACCACCCCAGTGAGCTCCAGGGCTACCACAGGAGATTCAAGGAGTTCTCAAACATGCTTAAAGGTATGGGTATGTTTTTGATGTGTGAATGAAATTTTAACATGTTATAAAGCTAAAAAAAAAAATCCATTTTGAATAATACCCCTCTTTAACGTGTATACTTTAGAAAAAATATATAATGTAACTATACTTCAGCACCTGCTTTGGGAAACAAAGACAGAGGGCAAATATTACCTAAAAGAAGAATAAAGAAATGACAGAGTAGGAGATGAAGCCGGCAAACCAGAGACAGATACAGAGATAGAGATAGAAGGCATTACTGTTTTTTTAATGCTCTCTCCTTCTCTCTCATATGTATTTTTTTCTTTTTACAGCACTGTGGAACTTCGCTATGAGTTGGCAATTGCTGCTGTGATTGTTCTCCAATGGAGAGGAGAAAAATCCAATTTCATTGATATASAAGACGAAAAGAAAGCTAGAAATAGAGACGAAAAATCATATCTGGAAAAAAAATGAAATTGAGGCATACATGAGGGGGGGAAAATACACGAGTTTAAAAAAAAGAAAAAACTTGAAAGGAGACAGACGTGTAAGGGAGGAGCAGAAAGAGCAAGTTGGGGGGGGGGCATAAAGAAACACTGGCAAGTTGATTGTTAAATATGAGACTGTTTTACAGCGTGGCAGGTATTGAGTGAAAATTTAATAAATATATAGATATTGTTTTCAGGGGCTATTTGGTAGCTTTGGCCCCAATGAACAGCAGCAGCAAAGGCAGCAGCCTGAGCTGTCTGTGATCCTGGTGATGGCCTGTCATTGGAAGCCCCTCTGATGAATGACCATGTTGGATTGGAAGAGACATGTAATATATATCAGACTTACAATCTATCTCTCTCCTTCTAGCTCTCTTTTGGTCACTTTAATTCTTTTTTTGTTAGTACGCAAGATGTTGCAGGAATTCTGAGGTTTGTGGATGAACTGAGGACAGATGGATGGAAGGAAATATTTGGGCTGCAATGCCCTGATGCACTGTGAGGAAAATCAAATTCACTGCAGTCTCAAAGGAAAAAGAATGGGTTTGCAACCAAATCATACTGCAGTTTAATAACTACAGTGAAAGGTAATTGGGTAAGGACTCTAAAACTGTGTTTAGTGCCTAAAAATTTCCTCACTTGCAACTTCTCAGTTATACTTTGTGACCAATTCTTAGGATAATATTTTTTTTCCTTAGATAACATCAGCAGACAATATTAATTGCCATATGATGTCAGGAAAGGCATTTTACTATACTGATGCATAAGTACTCTGATGCATGTTAAGCGTGGTTTCTCTCCGGGTACTCCGGCTTCCTCCCACACACCAAAAACATGACTGTTAGGTTAATTGGTAACTCTAAAGTGTCCCTAGGTGTGAGTGAGAGAGTGAATGGTTGTCTGTCTCGTTTGTCTYTGTGTGACGCTGTGATGGACTTGCAACCTGTCCAGGGTATACCCCGCCCCTCGCACTGACAGCTGGATATGGGCACCAGTGACCCCCGTGACCCTAGAAAAGGAATAAACGGGTATAGATAATGGAAGGATGGATGATGCATGTTAAGGGAAAATGCAGATTTACATAATCTGAGAAAACCATTTAAAAATCCCACAAAACTGTAAAGAATCTATAACTCATTAATCACTAATGGCTTTTCAGCACCATCTGTGATCTTGTGGACTCCCAAACTTTTAAATCCACATGATGTAAGACCCCAAACATTCCTTTAGTTAAATCATAATTTACATGCTGTCATATACTGCCTTCAGAAAACATAAGTCTTAATAAAATGTGCTAAACTTTAAATGAAAGTGTTTCTGTGTAGATTTTTCAAAATGTGTTCCAAATTGATTTGTAATTTAATTCCTTGTACGAATCAATAAATAAATCAATGCATTTCTTTCCTGTTTGCTTCTGAAGATCCTTCCTCTGGTTCCATTTCTGTTTCAAATCCTTACCTTCTCATTTTTTCTTTGTAGAGGTCTTTCAACCTTCTCTTCACAGTCTTTCCTTTGTTCTCTATCATTTGTGACATTTGCTCTTTTTACTGCTTTTCTGTGTCTTTTCTTTTACTTTCATCTTTTTGTTGTTTTATTCCATGTCACGTTTTCAGAAATGTCACTTTATCATAGATTTTTAGACATAACGTCACAGGCGGGCTCTTTTTAATTTTTTTTCCTGTTTTGCCATACTTTAAGTTGAATCACCGTTTCTCTCTCTTTTTTTTTTATTCTGTCTTGAGTCATGTCCATGTTGTCCGTCCATCCCTCTCTGTCTTCCTCTCTCTCCATCTTGTGTTTCTCTCTGAGGTGTGAAGGTGATTTGTTGACATTTTGATCTAAGGAATATTGACCAGAGGCCAACGTGGCTGATTGATGGTGAGTGTTTGGAGTCGATAACGCGTGTATTCGTCGGAACTCATCACTTACTGTATACTATCTGCACCCACATTTGATCCTCTATGCAAAGCAAGACAACATAATGCAAAGAGGGATGCAAAAGCAGAAAAAAATGAAATTTGGCTTTATGAATGAATTTCTGAAATTGCCAACTGAGTCTGTGCTGACTAATACTGTATCTCAGTCTTAACATAATCAGGCAGATCAACATATTGATTTATACGTCTACAATGTGCAAAACAAGCAAAAACAAGCCCAAACTACATTACTGAAGTTTGAATAAGTTTGCTTAAACAATGAAGAAATTAATAAAGGATTGCTGGACAAAAACTAAAATACGAAACATTGGGCCTCATGCAAGAACATGTTCGTATTTTTATCCTAAATTTCTCTTACTTTTGTTCGTACAAAGGGTTCGTACGAACATGTCACGTCAGATTCAACAAACACTTCTATCTTCAGGAAACGTGCGTAAATGAGCTGCGTAAATCCACCTGTTCTATCCAGCTGCTCGTGCACACGAGAGGAGATTAGCATAATTACCACCCCAAAAACACCATATAAGGCTATGCCTCAGATACAAGGAAGTGTTCATTCATTCATGAAAATTACAGCGAAAACAGAAAAAATAAAAACTTTACGAGTTCAGAGA